TGACTGAATTTATCGCTGGATATATCCCAAATTTTGTATACAATTCTGTATGAGGTTAACATTTCGAAAGAAATTAGCAAGTACTGAAGTTGGTAATACAGGTCTGTTTTGTTCACCTTTGTGTAATGTTACATTTTAGTATATACACATGTACCCTAATTGATTTGTATTACAGCAGATCATTGAAGTACCCAATATTTTTTTACAGGCCATCTGCAAACTGACCTATAGCACTGAATCAGGAAGGGATTGGGTCAGCCTATAACTTCAGAAATGTGCTAAATGCCAGAAATGGCAAAGGAGATGTCCAGAGTCATTACAGAGCCTATAAACTACTGTGCTACACAATTTTTAGATGCTATGTGCTGTCTGTTATTTCTCAATGAATTTGGACTTAGTGATTTTGAAGAAGTAATCCAGTTCCCAGAAAACTTTGCACTTTATTCCGAAAACGAGAAGATTTCCTGGATGAATGAAATTTGTAGATCACTGTATTAAGTAAGCATTTCTTTGATTCAGACACTGACATTTTCAGACAATTTGCTATTGGATCGATACATCTCATTTCACTTACTGAAAGCACTTGCATTTTAAATGAAGACCAAAAAGACAGACTAACAGCAAACAGATTCATTAACTGGCAAGGAGGGAAGAACAACAACATGGCACTGGACGAGTATGTCAAGTTGTTAAACAGAGAAAGCAAAGACATGTGTTCAGGTTTTTAGACGAAAGAAAGTATTCTGGCACATTCCAAAGAGTTCCCTCACATCATCAATTATGTTCAGCATTATGATGATTTCTGTGCTGTGTCACAACGTAAAGGGTTTCATCACCTTCCCTCTTACAGTGAAGATGTCAGGAAAGTTGCTGTGGAATTAGCAGACACTGGTGCATTTTCTTGTAAACGTGGAAGAAAGCCTCAGTGTAAAGCACTTTCAGCAGATGAAAGATTTTATGACAGAAACTTTCGAGGTCTTGGAACACTCATTCATAGACACAAGCCAATTGTTGCCCACCACAGACTGTGTAACAAATGAATATGAGCAGTACCATTTCACACATGCAGTTCCAGTACTGAAGATCAAATAAGCTATTGCATTGGACTCCCCGAAATGTACAGTAATTCAAAGATGTTACCACATTCATTGCAGTGTATATTTTGACATAATTGTTAGACTCCTCTGAATGTACAGCAATTCAAAGATGTTACAACATTCGTGCCGTGTTGTCATAATTCATATTTCAGACTTTTGTCCAAGAGAGACTAAATGCATGATGTAATTAGTTCTTCAGGCAATCCCACATGCACTCTTATAGGAGACTCTATCGTGTTTGAGAATGTTGTATTTTTTGGCATTTGTTCTGTCAAAATTAAAAGACTATGAATTAAAGTACAACTAGCTTCCATTATATTGATAGATCATGCATGTTACAGATTATCTCGAGGATATTTAAGTGATCAATCACATTATCTTAATAAGATCAAAACAATTCCTTTAGATGAAGGATACCGATATGTGTGAGAAAAGTTCATAATTTGTAGTTGGCGTGGGCAGTATCATGATTCATATATATATATGACTGAAGTAATATCATCCTCAGCTTTTTGAAACACTAGTTTCTATTGTTTATTCAATATAACATTATAGTAATTTAACTGAATCACATCATGTTCCATTCACGTGTAAACCAGTTGTCAGACAATAAAACCAGGAAGTTATAATTAGTCCAGTATAAGTAGACACCTATAAATCAACTAACATGTCAGTTTTCTTCAGACAGTATTTTGAACTTTTATTTCATGTCGTCTTTTTTAGAATCCTAGCCTGTAAAACTAAAACTTGTTTAATAAAATTAAACTTTATGTGGCCGAACATGTTTATCAAGTCAAGAACACAAATAGGGAAAAAATTGAAGAATTTTACATATAATCTATCATGTTTGTTAATAAGATGTGTTGCTGCAAATGCAAGATGAATGAAATATGTCTACTCATATGATTACCCTGTTGTTTTTTAGTTTGACACATGTGTACCACAGGTTTTTAGTTTGACACATGTGTACTACAGGTTTTTAGTTTGACACATGTGCTACAGGTTTTTTGTTTGACACATGTGTACCACAGGTTTTTAGTTTGACACATGTGTATCAAAGGTGTTTAGTTTGACACATGTGTACCACAGGTGTGTTAAGTTTGACACATGTGTACCACAGGTGTTTAGTTTGACACATGTGTACCACAGGTTTTTAATTTGACACATGTGTACCACAGGTTTTTAGTTTGACACATGTGTACCCCAGGTGTTTAGTTTGACACATGTGTACCACAGGGGTTTAGTTTGACACATGTGTACCACAGGTTTTTAGTTTGACACATGTGTGTCAAAGGTGTTTAGTTTGACACATGTGTACCACAGGTTTTTAATTTGACACATGTGTACTACAGGTTTTTAGTTTGACTCATGTGTACCACAGGTGTTTAGTTTGACACATGTGTACGCCAGGTGTTTAGTTTGACACATGTGTACCACAGGTTTTTAGTTTGACACATGTATGTGTATCAGAGTTCATAACACCAAAATAAAACACACACACATATATATATACATACAAGTACATACATAATTTCATGCAATAGTCAGTCACTCCACATTTAAATCCAGATCAGGGACTAAAGACAGATCTATATCATCTTCGCAGTCAAATGGATCATATGTATATGATTCTGTGTCTTCATCTGAAGACTTGTCACCAACATCATCAGCACTGATGAAATAAATAAGCTTCTCAATGAAGGAAGATGTGCATGCGCCACATGAACAACTAACTGCACACAAATCACAACAAGAATGAAGGCCCTTTTGCTTTTTTGATTTCTGTTAGCTCCAACTCTGTCAGAAAAGGTGTCGGCATTGCAACTCAACGACACTCTTCGGTTTTGAACATGTCTTTCACCTCGGTGTTGACATCTCGCAAGTGGTAAGAATTGACCAGTAAAAGGGCCACAGAATCCTTACCATCACGTCCAACACGTCCAATCTCCTGTATGAGATCTACTAAGCTCTTTGGTGCACCGTATACAATCACATTGTAAACATTTACACAATCTACACCCATACCAAGAGCACTTGTTGCCACTAAAAGTTTCAAACTACTGTCAGGATTTTTTAAAGACTCCAGAACTTTTTGCTTTTTGTCGTCGGGCGTTTCAGAATGAAACATTTCCACTGAGCTGACAGCTTCAGTTTTTTCAGTGACAATATAGCTATAAATGTTAGCTGTTGCCTTAATGGTAGAGCAATAAACGATTGTTCTGGGAAAGGTTTCCTCACAAAGGACATCAATCATCCAAACCATAGACATCTCTACTGTATTTGGTATTTTTCTGACTACCAACTTAATGTTGGGCTTGTTTGGAGAAATTCTTATTTCAACCAAGTCATCATCCATCTGTAGCACTTTGGACACTCGCCTAGAAATTTTCTTGGTGCAATCACAGTCGGCATATAGATATATCTTAGCTACGGTCTAGTTTATGATTAAATCATCGATAAATAGTTTGAAGAAATCAATCGGCTCAAAACGTATCAATGTCAATGTTCAATTCGGCCTCAACTGCAGACGACAAGTGCGCCTAGGTCCGCCGATATTTTCATGTTTGCGTAGGGCACAAAGTCGTTCATTGGAAAGTTACATATTATGTTACACCGAAGTATTTCAACATCAACCATGTCAAACCCTTCAAAACCTTTATTATCATCGTAGGTGATGCTGGAGAATAAATGTTTGCCATCATATTCATCACTTCAATCTACACGTCCGCCATTTTTATGACGTTTTTTTACGATTTGAAATTCTCTCGCACACTTTGATTATTACTAGGGTACATTGCCGGGAATATCGAAAGTAATGACAAAACAACCAATCAGAAGCCTTCTACTATACGCTTTCGGGTTTGGTATAAGCAACAGTCCGCTTTCACATTTCCTTTTTACTGATCAAAAACCTAAAGACCGCGCCACTATTGTGATGCGTAGCACTGACAGCCAGACTTTTCGAAACCACTATTGTGGCGTGTAGCAGCCTAAGGGTTAAAGTGGTTGAAAATCTTGGCCGAGCCCTTAATGCGTTGAACCCTGTTACTTTGTTTGAAGACAATTGAATACTATTTGCAAGAGTTAATGAACAGAAACGGAGAAAATGATGTTTTTCGTTATTCAAGGGGCCCTTAAGGCATTTAACCCTGTGACCATGTTTGAAGAAAATGGGTTTATATTTGTTGAAGTTATTGCGAAGAAACAAAGTGTGGCAGATAATGACATTTTTCATTATTCAAGGGGCCATAACTCCGCCAAATGGGGTCCACTGAAAGTTTACTGTTTATATGCACTCAATAGTAAAGCAAGTATACTGAATACGAGTTTTTTTCGAGTTCTGTCAATCATCAGCAGTCAGGAGCGACATTTCTGCACGGGAAGTCAATAAATACTGACCTACATTTTTGGACAGTTTTCCGGTACATGGATTTGCTAACCAGAAAGTACTCGTAACCAAACTGCAACCGGTTACTGGGTTACCCGTTCCAGCCCTAATTCTGGTAAATATATAGGTGAAATGGCAATGAAGTATTGCCAAGGTCAAAATACTGTTGGTGTCCAGACACCAAGACATTGCTATACCAATACCATGGCCCTTCATACTTACAAATTTGTTGGATATTCAGTCTCAGAAAAACAAACTTACATATATATTTTTATTTGGTGTGATAATTAAAACCCTTCTATATCCGTTTTATGCTCACCATTCAGTTTGTCTGCGACACATGTGGCAGTTATACCAAAATGTCTGCCACATGTATGCCGTTTATTGCCTAAATACATATCTATTCATAGCTAAACAAAGGCAGAAAGAGGTGTCTCGCTCAAGCTCGATTTATAGGTGTCTTGTGTTTTAGTGGGCTGTCTATCCAAGTTCTGAAATAAACACTATAAAGTTACCTCTCCTGTCTTCCTCCCAGATGTCCAGCTCTGTATTACGGTATATGAGGGGATCCAGCGCCTTAGCAATTCGGTATGGAAGGGGCGGTGTTGTTTTTTTCAGCTGTCGGTCCTGTCAACAAACAAGGATCAAGTTATGAAATTCATATTATATGATCTGTCAACTTTCTTCCAGTCCTCTCGAAATATTTCCTTTGTGTCTGTATTACTATGTCATTTGTATACATAGATACATAGATTTATTCTGACAAAACTCGGATTTTACAATCCTTTGACAGTCAGCTCTGAAATAATAAACAGTTGAATAAAAACATAACTCAATAGTTGTGACTTTCAGATTTCAATATTTTTCTTTGAAACTGTATTTCTACGCTTGGTTTTGCCAGTGTTCATCTCATTTATATTCAAATTGTTTAATTGAGCTTGAATTCATAACATTTGACAGAAAAGTGGTGCTACAACAGTTCTCTGTGTACACGAAAATTTTCAAATATTTAATCTTGATTGCGATTTGTAAATTTTTAAGTTGTGTCCACGTGTAGATGAACTTTCCCTGACATTAGATATATCGGATACATTATAGTCATATTTCCCAAACAATATTTTGTAAACCTCTATCATATCGCCACATGATCTTCTATAAGCTAGTGTTGGTATTTTTGGTTTTTCTAATTGCTCCTTATTAAAGGCCAGCTTCCTGCTTCGCTGTTCGAATTTACGTATCTGTTCTGGCACCAATTCAGAGATGCTCCATAAATGTGGTCCAAAATAATTTTAATGAAGATCTATGGTTAAGAACATTAAAAAGGAACGATATTTAAAACTAATGATGAAAATCTGTTTGGATGGTTGAGGCCCGAGACCATGGAGCCAACAGTAATCACATATGTATCCAATTACTCAGCTATAAGACCACTAGATGTTTTGTTATAGGATGGGGATCACAAAGTTCCATGTTTGGACTCAAGAATCGAGTCCTGAAAGCATGATTGTATGTCTCTTCATACCCATGACCTGTATATATGGATACAGGGTAAAGATATCAACCATTTCAAAGTAAGTACCCAGGGACCAAGTCATCAGGGGTAGGACTGGACCCTGGTACCAATCCTGGAAGTTTTGTTTATACCTCTCTTCATACTGAGCCATTGTAGAGATACTTATGGGGTGGGGATCTGAACTGTTTCCATGTCATGATAAATGGACTAAATCTCTTGGTACAGAGACAAGGGAATTTCTGATAGCATTATTTATCGAAGTTTCCATAGGCAGGCCAAACCCTGATGCCAATCCTGGTAGCATAACTCCACAACCAGCAATTGTTCTTATGGTTATACGATATAGGACTCAACTGTTTCCAAATGGTGACACCAAGACAAAGTCTCTTAAGGCGAGGCCAGCTCAGTGAGTCCATTCCGATATCATGTTGATCTCCTCTCCCCATGCCCAACACCCATTTCAAAGCAATGGCCCAGGTATCAAGTCTCCAGGGGTAGGAGGTTCCAATTTCAGTTCCCCCCTCCCCCCTCCCTCTCTCAGGTGAAGCACACCTTCCGATTACACAAATAGGAGTTCACTCAGCAGAGGGATGCTCTAAACCAAATCAGGTTAAAAATCCTTTTACCTGGACTGAAGGAGCAGGATTTTAAAGATATACTTTTATTCCAATTGGGACGCACCCCTCCGCTCCCAGTGTTGTTTTTTCAAATGACTTTAAGTCATCTTGGCCATAGACTGCTTCAGGCAAAATTTTATTCCTCAGATGGGTAATCTCACTTGAAGTTAATAGTATTTCAATATACTTGTTCTTGCATGCAGTTACAGAAAGATGTCACAGCTTGATGAACAAATGAACAACTGATCAAGATAGAGTGATTTTTATCTTTTTCAATCACCTAAAATCACTAACACAGACAAGAGGTCCATGGGCCTTAAACGGTCACCTGATATATTTATACAGAGAGTTGATTTTGTTTTTAACACTAACAGAAATATTATTCAAAGTGACAAAAAAAAAATAAAAAAAAAATCATTCAATATCTAGCATACAGATTTAAGACTAAAAAGTATTTGAAACTAGCACCTCTGATTCTAAACAAGGAAAATGAAGAAATTTTAGCAGACTGACTCCTTTGGGCCCCACCCTACAGGGGTAGGGCTGGCTCGAATTTTTCATAGTATCAAACTGTCAAATCAGGGTTATAATTTCAATCAAGTTATTAACATGTTATATTCAAAGTATCATTTGCCATTATAAAACATAGTAAATTTTGCCCCCCCCCCCCCCACCTTCCTTCCCAAGGGGGTAAACGTGAGACCCTAAGGTCATAAACCTTAAGACCCCTCCATCTATGAAAAGTGTTTGATTCTACCATATCTGGGTCTTGAGAATAAGATTTTTGAAATTTCAGTCAATTCGACCCTTTTTTGCCCCACCCATCAGCCCTGGGGGGTCAGTCAGGGCTCATATGTACATACCATCAAACTGCTATCCAATACTGATAATGCTAACCTAAATTGAATTACCTCCAATGGCAATTAAACAAATGTTAGTCCAAAATGTGGTTTCCCTATATAAACTATAGTAAAGTTTACCCCCACCCCAGAGGGAAACGCGAGACCCAATACCATATCTGGGTCTTGAGAAGAAGATTTTTGAAATTTTAGTCAATTTGACCCTTTTTGGTCCCACCTCTCAGGCCCCTGGGGGCTGGGGACCAAACCAGCAACTATTTTTGTTGACTTTTGGCCATGGAAGGTTTCTGCAAAATTTCATTGAAATTGGTTCAGGGGTTTTGGAGAAGAAGTCAAAAATGTAAATTGTTTACGGACGCACGACGGACGACGACGGACGACGACGGACAAAAGGCAATCGCAATAGGTCACTTGAGACTTTGTCTCAGGTGACCTAAAAATACAATATAGTGTTTATGTTCTGAATGTCCCTAAACATATTGTTACTGAATCTGTAATGTATATATATACAGGTTTCTCCCCAGAATTTTACCAAACTTCTTTTGATGAACATTAAAACCAAAGAAAGAAATAAGTGTTCCTTATGTCTGAATTTTCGGCAATATTATTGTTTGTTTTTAAATATTCTAAAAAAAATACAATTTATAGAAATGTGTATGAGTTTTGTACATTGAATAATAGATATGACATTTGTCTCTTATCTTTACATTTGTATCCCTTACTTTATCCCCATTAAAAATAATTTAAAGAAGAAATATTTCAAAGCTGTTAGTGCTATAGGGGGAAACACTTACATTAAAAAGTATATATCACGGTTCTTATTATTGAAAGAGAAAATATTTTAATAAATTGTAGTGTTTTTATTTCCTCCAAAACTGCATTAAATACTGCTGTCAGTAAATGTGATTAAATATTAAAACAGCATTTTTATTTGAGCCCTTCTTCCTTAAAAACAAATCCGGATTTTCATTCCGCTTTCTGGTCTGTACTCTACACAATCCAAGATGGCGACCATCACTAACACTGAATACACACGCTATTTCAGCGTTGTCAAATGCAATCATATGTGAGTAAATTGATTTATAACAGATGTAATAAGTGTTTGTTTTGTTAATCCAACACCAGTTTCCTCAATTTATTACCTATTGACCATGCTAAAAGCATACATGCCATAACTTTCCGGTGCAAAATAGTGAGATCAGTGATTATTTTTAGTGAGGTTTGGTCAAAAATAGTGAGATTTTTTCTCTGAATTCATGAGAAATTTGTGGGACATTTAAAACATAAATTATATAGCATATATCATAGTATTGAATCATTTGTGCTATTCTGAAGCCTCTAATTACTTTGTTAGAGCCAAAATTGAAGATTTTTTGATATTTTAAAGGATTTTAGGAAGGTTTACACGTGACATACGGTCCTGATAAAGCTATCAATATTTAAAAGTAAATAAATCACATAAAAGGCAAAAAATAATAGTAATTAAAAAAAGAAGAAATTCCACAGGGTTGTTCTTATTAACCCAGGTTAGAACTAGAAATATGTCAAAATGACATGAAAGTCACCCCATCTCCTGTATGATTATTTCAGTATAATAAATCATTGACCAAGCTACAACTGACATATTTCCACCTGTCAATCAAAATGGTCTAACAATGACCAGGTATGCATACACGCTGTTTAGGTAACCATGCCAACCTACTAGGATATAATAAGAACGCATGTGGTTGATTTACTTGAAGAAAATGTTCCATGTTTTATGACCATAAAACACAAACACTGCAAATAATTTCATTTTTTTTTAAATTTCTGTGACATTCCCTGGCCTTCTTCATCCCAATTTCAAGGCCTTCCACATTCGAACATGCCAAAGTGCCAGGATAAGATAGTTCATCTGTTAAAATGGGGGAAAAAAATGATATAAGAGAACTGAACATGCATATTGGAGCAAATCATTTTCACCAAAACTAAAGGCTGATGATTAAGGAATTTCCAATCCCTATCACTATTTTTGTACAGGTATTGTATTGGTGGTTATTTAACTCCATATTATCAGTTGATAATTCTCAGTAAAAATTATTTGTTTGTAAAACTGTCAATATCGTCTAGTCATTGGTTTCCGCCCGTTATATATTTCCGCGCAGCCATTTTATCAAGCTTTATCTCGTTACTATGTGACCTGCTGGACACAACACAAAGATATTTTAGACGTTTGGCCATCGTCTGTAAACTGACGCAAAAATTACCGGAACTTCGTCCGGAAGACATAAGAATTAATCACCGATTAAAAAACATGCATAAATATGCAGTTTTGCTTAATACACTTTTTATCTTGCTCAAAATGAATACAATGTCAATACCATGTTTTGCCGGTACCTCGAGGTCACCACTGCCACCACACCGCAAACACGATAACATTAAACGGTGTCGAGCGCTTTTATTATAAATTCTGAATATGGCAATGTTCTACTTACCTTACATGACCCTGCACTCTTTCGGTTTTCCATTTCAAGTTCTGCCCTAACGTGTTATGTTGTAAAGTGTCCTAAAGTTGTAAACGTTGTCAGGCGGGATATGAATGTTGATGAAATATTTGTTTGAATGATGGCGCATTTATTTATAACATATCACCATTTG